CCCTCAAACAGTTATTTCCTCGCTATTCTTGGAATAGCATTTAAATGCCCCTCCACTAGAGTAGGCTAAGACTTTACGCAATCACAATCCCTCAATCAGTTATTTCCTCGCTATTCTTGGAATAGCATTTAGGTGCCCCTCCACTAGAGTAGGCTTAGATTTTACAAGATTATATTACTTGAAAACTAAACACAACCGAAACATTCAATCGGCATTAAGTATTTGACTGTGTGTTCTTATTTTAGGTCGAGAATCAAGTGATCTATACTATTATAACGTACGTTTCAATAATTATGCTGGAAACGAGGCCGAAATCATCAAGACGACTGGGAACAAGCAGAGAAACATGCTTCCCCCTGGAAAATCACTTCATGTCAAGTTCACTACCACCAAGAAACATCCCTCCGTGTTCCGTGCGATCTACGCCGACTCAGGTAATTTACGCATGTGTTCTTCACTACTCACTAATCATTTGGCTGTTCGGCTAAATATATCTAAGCATCGAGGTTCCGTGCAGACAGCGCTTGGTCACACGATGTTTGGTTGCACACGATGCTCGTCATGCGCACATGTAGATGTCGTATGACCAGATTTTCAATTCTTTTTCGTTTGTTTAGGTGAATCGCTAAGGTTGAATGATTACCCTCTGCTGCAAATCTACCCATCAGATAACCCAGAAAAAGTCACCGAGGTTAACGTTAACAAACCAGGTATGTCACCTTTTTAACCTGAATCCATCGCTCCGTTGCTCCCTTCACTAGCTGTACACGGAAATACTGTGCCTTGTCAATGCTGTGCGCAGTATTCTGATTTCATCAGCAATGTCAAACAATTTTTCCACGTTGTTCCAAAAATGCATTGTTGATCAATAAGTTGTTTATTTTTGCCAGCGCGCACTTAGATAACTTCATAATAACCAAGGGATTTTGCTTTAATTTCTAAAACGACGTTAAACAGCGTAATTTTGCACATTGGTTCAACACATTTTGCAGACGGATTTTGTCTTAAATAGTCAAACTTGTACAAAATCGATTTCCAAGCTTTTATATTTTGACCAAGTTCTTGTCTTCTTTTGTTAGCGTTCTTCTATACTATCATAACCAAGACTGGTAGCCAAGAAAGCGCTGATACACAAGCGAATGTCTTCATAAAGTTGATTGGTGAAGATGGAAGTACACCAGAACTACCGCTGGCTCATAAGGGAGTAACGCACTTCAAGCTTGGCGGGTAAGCTGATAAAAGTCTCCGAATATCACTATCTGCTGCAAATGGTTGTCAAACACTGAACACCATAGCGTCAGCCAAAAAGAATTGCTTGGTTTCAATCAGCTGAAAAAATTCTTTGAATATAACAATCTGCTCCAAATGGTTGTCAAAATCTGAACACCGATGTGTTGTCAGCCAGAAAGAATGCTTTTGAAAATTTGCATTGAGCTACTAACCTTTCTTAAATTGTTTGGGTAGAAACAAATTCTATATAGTAATCGTGGTACCCACGTACAACAACATTCTAGATATAATTCTTTGGGTGTTCATATTTCTTCTCTTTGTTGTTTTAGTCAAGACAAGTTCCGCATCGAGGCAACCAACATCGGTAATCTTCAGAAGGTTTTCTTGAGGCACGATGACTCAGGTGAATCACCAAACTGGTTCCTCGAGAAGGTGAGAAATAACCACTTGGGTCGTAAATATTTCTGCAAACTACAAAGGACGATCGGATCAAAAATGGATGCGCAAACTAAGATGAATATTTTGTTAAATTTAATCAACACAGTAGCTGTATTCCTCGAGGGTTTCCTCCCTCCGCAAACAACAATACTCTTTTTTCCAGTCCCGTAATAATAATAAAAAATTATATTTTACTATATTTAATAAGCTGTAGCGCTGTCCCTGCTATTAAAAACATTTGCAAAAAGCTAATACATTTGAAACCTATATGAGCATTTTTCATAGGAGAGTTAGAAAGAGTTTATAAGTTAGCGAGGATTGAACATCTGTACTCTGCTAGTCATATCTTCCAAAAGGAAACTAGAGAGTACACAGCTATAGTTTGAGCTGCGTCGATGTATCTAGCGTATATGATGGGAAAAGCATAAGTAAACTGAACACCGTGTTATACTGAAGAATGTACAAACAGCATTTCCTCGGAGCAAAGGTTCCATTTTACTAGAATAGCAAGAGTACTGGTTGTAATTTGTTTTTTTGTGTGTGTTTATCCAGGTTCTGGTCAGAGACATGAAAGGAAAGCCTTATGAGTTCAACGTCAATTCCTGGCTGGATAGCAAACAAGGTGATCACGTGACAGCTAAGCTATTGGATGTGCAGAATCCGCTGGCTGGAAGCGGTAAGAACAAAAAGAAACTCGCTCATGTGCTATCTTTGCTAACGGCAAATTTAATAAGAAGCCAAGTAGTTGGTGTGATTATGTTGATTATGTTGACGAGTGTTTATCTTTTTCTTTTTAAGATCAATGTGTGCCATCATGTTTAAACAATGCCACGTGCATTGACGGGAAGTGTCAGTGTGGACTGGGCTATGAAGGAGATCAGTGTCAGGACGGTATGTATCCCTTTAACGTCACTATGCACGTGATCTATTACCTACCCACGTGATATGTTAGCTATTCACGTGACCTATTAGTTATCCATGTGGTCTACTTGCTTTACGTTATCTATTAGCTACCCACGTTATCTGTTAGTTACCCACGTGACCTACTAGCTTCCCATGTGACCTAGTACCTATCCAACTTGTCTATTGGTTTACACGTGATCTATTAGCTATCCACGTGATTTGTTAGCTACCCACGTGACCTATTTGCTTACATGATCACCTTTTCCTATTCCAGCTATTTGTGAAGTACCTTGCTTGAACGGAGGAACCTGTATCAGCCCTGACTCAAACAAGTGCGCATGCCCAGAGGGCTACACTGGATCCTATTGCGACAAACGTAAGTGAAAATGGTTTCTATCAAACTTACCAAAGGTCTACTTGTAGTATCATCCCTATCGTACGTCTTCTTGTTGTCATGGCAATATCAGCTATGCCTTGTGTTGTCCAATTACCATAGTAACATGAACCATCCTTGCCAAATCTTATAGCCATAGAAATATACCTTGTTGTAGTTCTTTTCGTTGTCATGGCAAACACCATAGGTCTCCTTGTTGCCATGGAGATATCCTCCTTGTTCAGTGATATAAAAAACATCGAAAAAAATACATGGAACCATTCTTTTTACAGCTGTTTGCAGCGACTACTGCCGCAATGGGGGAACATGTTCAGGGCCTAACCAGTGCACGTGTCCTACGGGATTTGTTGGAAGCAAATGTGAAATATGTAAGTATGGACTCTTCTCAAAAGTATCGTGGATGAAGGGCTTACATGGAAATACAAAAGAAATCACACTTTTTCTCGATGGAATTCGTGGCATTTCTTTTATATTTCCATGTTAACCTCGCATTCAAGACAATTTTAAGCAGGGTGTATTGTCTCTTTAATGTTAAAGTAAGATTGCGAAGTCTTAGTTAGATTTTTTGACGGTATTCGATGTTCTTAGAAAAATGTTTTCTCGTACTGTTGACTGAATTATGCATCCTATTTTCACCCTATAACAGCGAGTTGTATCCCTAAATGTTTGAATGGAGGACAGTGCGTGGATGGATCATGTCAATGTCCACTGGGACACTCTGGGAAATACTGTGAACAAGGTGTGGATCAATAAGTAATGAGTAAATCAATGTTTTCCCAATACAGACCACGTGTCATTCTCTTGAGAGTGAGACTCTTTGTTTGAGTCGTAATCAAGATATCCATGTGTCTTTTCGCATGCGCAACCTTTAAGCAAAGAAATGATACTCTAGGAAATGACACGTTGTCCGTGATGGGAAAAGATTGCAACACATGGTCTGAAATGCGAAAACACTGATCAAGTCCAGGAGTCACTGTTTGCAGGAGCAGGAGTAGCTCAGTTGGATAGTGCGCGACCTTCAGAGCTCGAGGTTCACGGCTCGATCCTTAGGATCTCCACGTCTGTTTCAACTTCTCTCTAATCCGTGTAGCTTCAGCTTTAAATACTCTTAAAACAGAGCACTGATGGAGAGAGGGGGTAAAGTACGCACCGTCGGCTTCCATTGATAGCAGTTGAATTTAAACTGAAGGAACTGCCGACGTTAAATATAGGTACTTTACTTTACTTTTTAGTACCATCCATTTATCATTCTCCCATTTCTCTCTTTTTATCTCTCTGTATAAATATTGCAGTATCTATGTATTTTGTCCTGGTGTTACCTAAATACTCGCACATTTATCCATTAACCATTCTGTTTTTGTATATTATCTATTGCAGTATCTATATGTGATTTATCGAGCGACCCAGGGCCTTGTTTCCACGAGTTATACCGAGCAGCAAGTAGATTCGCCCGGTTAAACCGAACCACAGGGTGTAAGAGATACCTGACCGATGTCTTACAAAGCTGTACGGCTAATAACGGGTCTTACAATATGGAGGAGTGCAGTAGAATATGCGGTAAGTCAGAGGGATGGGTTGACCAGTGAACAAGGAAGGGAACCCTACTTGGTGTTATGGGAGGGGTCGGTAAGATCAATAATGCAGAAGAATGGGTTGGTCAGTGAATAAGGAGTGAGGGAACCTAAATTGGCTAGCGGAATATGCTAGAGGATTGAATAACGTTATGAGAGGGGAGGGTGCATCGGACGGTGAGGATAATAGGGTATTGGAGGGGTAGGTCGATTAAAGAGTATAAACTTGGAATTGGGTTGGGACGATATTGATCAAAAATAATGCTACGAGGATCGTGATGAAATATCTTGCCAAAAAATTTCATAGCGTAATTTCAAATTATAACTCTTAATTTGCTGATCCCTTACATAATTTATATTAAAGGAAGCAGGTTCTCTTTCTTTCTATAAATAAATGTACTAAAGAACAGTAAAAACCATGTAGCTCAGACTCGAATCCTAATGCATCAACCGTTGTCTAGTTTAAATTGCCATATTAAAGGCTATCAAATTCTTTCGCCTTGGGGCTTCTTAAGGCACGGACACACGGTGCTACTTGCGCGCAACTCAAGTAGGATAGTTTTCAGTCTACTTCAGCAACGTTACGTGCAACAAATTGCGTCATGTGCCCGGGTGGGGGGGTTACTCCCCTATATTTGCTATACGGGTATGAAAACCCGTTTTTTCAGTCTTTTAGTCTGGGATAGGGTGTACCATTCTTAGTTTTAGTCTGGGATAGGGTATGTAAAATCAAAATTATAGGTCTGGGATAGGGTCAGGGTTTTTAGGTCCTGGCGGCACACCCCTACCCAAGTTGGGGTGGTAGTACCCCCCGGGGTCGTGTGTCATGGCTCGCAACATCCATTGCTTAACAGCAGACCTTCTGTTCAAATGTAATGTTTCATCTTTAAGGTGACTAACGAAGTACAGATTCAAAAATTTTAATATAAGAAGAAAAACGATCCACAAAAAAAAATTACTTGTTTTTACTGTTTTACTTAGTAATTGATTATTTAACTGTAGCAAATTGTATTTTCTTTTTCTTTTTTCCAATATTATTCCTTTCCTTTTCGTTCCATTTATTTTTCCACACATAGTTTTATCCCTCGATCTTTCAATATATTTCTGATTCAATCTCATACTAACTTAATTCTATTTCGGTTCAGTATTTTCCACCTTAGTAAACAATGTTATATCATGCTGTTAGATTAACATATTTATCACTGACTCAGTTTAATCTAGTGGTCACGTCCAAATTGTTTTTCATATACCGAAATCACGTCTCGATTCCTCCAGTTTATTTCACTCTCTTTTAACATCTCTTTCACAGCATAGTTACCTCCGCGATCTACAAGCACAAACTATTTCATAACATGATTCTTTTTGGTTTAAAAAATCGAAATTCATTTTAGATTTTTCGTATAATTTTATCATTTTCGGTTTTTATTGGTATAGTTCTCACGAGCTTTATTAAATATTCAAGGAACGTGCTTCAATAGATGAATATATAACAGTCAGCGTTGTTGATGTACTGATCATGAGACAAGCTGTTTGTATAAGAGTTCAACATGGAGCACGTCCCATAATATACTTGCCCAGGGTTAAAAATGATCGTCCACTGATTGGCAGATCAGACCGCACAAGTTATATCATACGTGCTAGTACTGCCCAGATAATATTTAATCACATGTTATTTTCACACTAGAAGTCCTTTAATTATTTTCATGTGGTTCGTTTCACGTGCCACGAAAACTCTGCATGTTTACATTAGGATGTCAACAAAATACTAAGGAAAATATGAACGATTTTAAAAATTGTAATAAGTACTTCTTATTTATCTGGCTTATGCTTTAAAATACTGCACCTTTTCAGAAACATTTCAGGGTTTTTAACACGTAGTGTTTAATTTTTTGATTTCCTATTAAGAGTTGTTTATGATTAGGATAACAACAAAATACTGGGGGAAATATGAACAATTTTTCAAATAAGTATTAAAAATAGTTATCTGGATAAATGCTTTACGATTTTGCACCTTTTTAGAAAATTTTAAGGGTTTTTAACAAACAAACCGTAGTGTTTCTAATTTTGCTTTTCTTATAGGGGTTGCTTATGATAAACGAAGTAAGAACATTGGCACGTAGTCTTTAAGCTTACCCCTTCCCCCTCCCTCCCCCCTGGGGATAAATCGAAACAGTTTTTTCTATTATTATAATTTCTAAACCAAGCACGTACGTGTAATTTGTAATTTGTAATTAGACGTATTTTTGACACGGTAATAACGTTTATTATTAATATTATTATTATCATTATTATTATTATTATTATTCTTACAGCTTTTCTACCGTGTATTGCTTCTATATTTCGATGAACGTGTTTTGCATGCTAATTATTTATCATTTCATTTACGACCCTAGAGAAAATCATCTTATTTTTATGAATCAAGTAAAAAATAGAGTCGCAAAAACAGGGTTTGAACGAGGAATAAAGGGGAGGGCTTTTTGATAATAAAGCTGACATTTCACCTTAAAGATACCAATATATATATATGGTCTTTCAGTGTTATGAACATGATTTTCGCCTCACTGATCGCGCTAGAGTTTATGTTTTAGTAAGATAATATATCGGCAATAGACCAAACAATATACAATGTGACCTGTTGAAAATCAGATGTGCGTATCATCAACCCTCGGGCTAATACTTGCACATGTCTTTGAAGTATAGCGATTTGCAAAAAATCTGCAAAAGTCAAGTATATCTATATATCCATATATAAACTGATTTTCAGATTTAAAAAAAAAAAACGATTTTCAACCAAAAGTTAGCCAAATATCTAGTATTAATGCTTACAATGTACACTATGATTATATTTCACCGAAAATATTGTATTTAACCTTTATCAAAACGTTATTTTTAAATTGAAAATTACCCATGCACCCAATATATAAATATTCATTTTATTTACAGAATTTTCGCAAAGCGCTGTAAATTAATAAATATATGTATATATACTATCAACTAAAGGGTTCCATACATTAAATTATACAATTACGTGTTCTCTCTCTTTCTTCTTCTTTTTTCCCTTTTTTCTCTCGTTTAAATGCCATAGTCATGAATGTTAGAAACATATAAAGCTAGTCAGCTTATTTCTTAGACTTTACGTTACTTTTTATAAGGCTCATTTTTAAAACTCCAAAGGAAGGTACGTGGCTAGTCACCGAAACAAATGCACCCCTTGTCTAGATATGTGCTAGCCAAGCCTCCTACACACCCCTTTCAAAATTATGTTAGATGTAATCATGAAGCTAACAGGAAAATACACTGTGAAACGAAATGACAGAAATACCATTCTTTTGTGCTTTTTCTGTTAACCTGGCAGCGAAAATAATTTTGAAAGGAACTTAGTATTCAATCTTTAAGATGCCCTGGTTCGAAATACAATTTTCTAATGAAGGTCTATTTTCTTCACAGGTCCTGAAGGCGAACAAAGCGTTTGTAAGAAGATCTGGCAGCCAGGCAAATGTAGTTCACTATTAACAAAATATACCTATGACAAAGACACAGGCACGTGTCGATCCATGCTGTATAACGGTTGTCTTGGTAACAGCAATAGTTTTGATTCACTCGAGGATTGCAACAACACTTGTGGTAAGTGACTTCTGTACTCACTATCCTATGCTTTTGCGCGATGAAACGTTGGAGAAATAAAAAAACGCGCGCGCATTTTATGTGTAGTCATAAATCAGACAGGGATTTAAAGAACACGAGAGAAGTGTTATGAGAAGCACGACGCCTACCGGATACTTTCTTAACACTTCTCTTCAGCGCTCTGCTTATCAGCAAGTGCTTTATAACTGCACACAGCACAGCAAAAAAGTGTTTTTCTTGATAACAAATATCAATCAAGTTTTGATGCGGGAAATAATAAAGAGAGTCAGTTACGTGAGTTTTTAAACAAATACAATGCGCGCGAAGTTTTATATATTTTTGGCGACGATTTACATTTTGCGCACTTGCGCATTGGTTTGTTCTTTCTAAAAACTCAATTTTTGCGGTTGTTTTTGCATCTACGCGTTTCTAGAATTCAAGATTCAAGATCTTTGTTTCAACTTTAAGGATCTAATATTGCACGATAACTTAATATGCAATGATCAATGTATATTCACAGGTATCCAGCGAAAAAGACGTACAATTACAAACTCTACACGAGAACAGAAGCCAAATCTACTAAGAAATCTTCTTCCTAAGAGATTACATCACGTGAGAAGGCATGCCTCTTATAAATAAATGCTTATGGTTGCCATAGTAATAATTGCCACAATCCACCTTGAAACAGAAATTTAACGATCTTTCTTGCCTCTTATACAAAAATAGTTGCCAAGGTAATAATCGTCACGAGCCACCGTAACAGAAATATAGCAAAAAAATATGTTTATAAATGAAAATGAAAGAGTTATTTAAAAGTCAAAGGTTAACGAACATTGACAAAAGAAGATTATTTTTGTTCCAAAATGTAGACATTTATTTTAGATATGGGATGGCAAAAGATTACGACTCGATATTCCGCAGGGAATATTAAGATTTTCAAATCAAATTCGATATGTTTATAGATTCAAGTCATTTATGATTAACAGTTTACTAGAGGTAGATTGTACATTAGTATGTTAAAGTCTTAAGACGCGAAGAAATAAGGTAAAATGCGCGCGAATTCCAACAATGTTTCAACTACCCCATAACTGATTAAATTCTATGCACCTGACGATCTAGGGCATCGCTTTCTAATACAATTTATAGCGCATTGCTTAATAATTTAAGCGATTGTTAGTCTTGCAGGGTAAAATAGTTTTTGAATTACTCTCACTCATTAGCCATGTACCACGAGGCTGATCGTAAAATTAGTATAATTAATAGTGCAACTTGTAGATGTTTGATTATAGTAAAACTAGAAGTAAAAATGTAAATTGTAAAACTCACTCTGATGTTGTCTTGGCTAATAAAATAAAATTTATGCTTTTACATATGGCTAGATTTTATTCATTCTAGTTTATGGACCCTTTTTCTCATTCTCTTTCTTTCTTTCTTTCCGCTTTCTTTCTTTCTTTCTTTCTTTCTTTCTTTCTTTCTTTCTTTCTTT